GATTCTGTAAAAGTGATCAAAATGTATGAGTCCATTAGCGATGGCATATAAACCACCATGAAAATTACCAAAGACTCAAAAAAAAAAATTATCTGTGACTTTATAATATTGATTAATTTGACAATTATGACCATAATTGGTAACCCATAGACGTAATTTAGAGTTCATCATTTATTTACGGTAAACTTCATGTTGCGTAACAGTTGCAAACTGCAATTTTTAACTTGAAGGAGTAAACGTATTGATACTTGTAATACTGATGTTCAAAAAATTCAAAGGAATAAGAGTGTACAAAAATGGTACAAAATCGACAGCAACAATTTGACCAAAAGAGGGTTGTGGATCGACAGAAAAAAACTACACAAAATAATTAACCAATTCTTAAATAGATGTGTGTTATGAGACCAACGGGAAACATAACTAACAAACTGATCATTATTGCGGATATGAGCTTGAGATAATTATTCAAAAGTTCAAACTAATGATACGTACCTAAATTCAGTGATCCGTTGAGACTATTTAAAAGCACCATGCAACCGCCTTTTGGAACAACGGCTTCAAGATACAGTTAATATTATACAGTGAAAGTATTTTTCAACACCGTTTCACTTTGCAGTCGTCTTTGTGACGTTATGGCCGTGTTACAAACATACAGTATACAGTCTTGTTATGATGCTGCCATGACGTCAATCGTATCAACACATCTGTACTTATATAATGTGATACACTCATAATATTGCATTGCACGTAACTGTCTGCTTTCTATCAACATAGTAATCTTGGAAATCAGATTTTAATTAGGTTATGAATATTACTGTTTGTAGTATAGAAATATATTGTTATGGCCTCGGATAAGTATGTATGATCTCACCCCGTTTAAATGTGTCAATATGCCACAAATTACAGCTGTTATCTAACCTCGATGCACAACCGGCAGCGAACGAGCTTGACAAACACCGGATACGTACCGCCATTCAACGATTTCATGGCGTCTATTTCGAAGCGCAAAATGGGTTTAAGATGTGGCTATACTATAATGTGTTCGAGGGAATTATTTTTGACGAATTGAGTCATATTTTAGAAGTCCCAAGTCACTATCAAAAACGCAAAATTTAGAGTCCTGCGATACAGTGGAAAACAAACTTCGACCACATTCGGGTTTTTGTGTAGAAAAAACATTGCATACAAACACTTCATTAGATGAATCTAGAACAATTTCTCAAATTATTGTTTAACTGTGTGGCTGTCACTGCCTAGTGCTTTAGTTGGATGAGGATTACTAGAAATGAAGTCAAGTTGACAGTGATTTTTGATTTGATGATTCAGATGCACAAACATATTAAAAATTATGAATACTAAGCAGAAAACTGAAATTGTTATCAGTACTGGTGCCCGTTCTACGCAATATTTACTGCTATGAAATTTGCAGTGGTGAACACATTTTTATTGGTTTAATTACCAAACAACACACATTTCCTAAATATTCATGGATTCAAAGTCATGGATGGAAAGGGGTGCCGGGGGTTAGGCAGGCCTAACTACAGTATGAACAAACGCGCGTAATCGTAACGATTACGTAATAAACAATATCGTTGACTAAATATTGAATAAGGTTTGTGAGCTTTATTGTTTCTCAAAACCTTCTCATAATCGCATCAACGATGAGAGTGTGTGAGAAGTCAATTTGACTGCTGAGAAAATAAAATCATTTATCGTTGTATGAACGGAAGACCAAATTCAACACGAGAAACGCGAACAGATCGCAACCATGCTAGGATATTCTAAATTAAAGAGAACGGCATCACAAGTGAAAAGAAAGTTAAAGCGCAGTGGTCGTCGCGCAGCGCGTGTTCGAATTTCATGTAAATAAACAATGTATTTTACACACGTTGCATACGTACGTCGCTATGAGTCCCATAGCGAACAAGACGCGGCGCGACGACTGCCGCCCTTTAAGTTGTACTCAAATCAGTTTGAAGAACTCCAGGACGATTTAATATTACACTATTCCGATGATGCAAACGATAAATTCGTTGAGATTTGCAAAGTATTACAGAAAAGCCTGGGTAAACAACACTTTGGGGACCGCCATGTTCGACACTTCATTTCAAGAAAAGAGAATGAGTGACCTGCAGCTGAATAAAGACGTTTTAATTGTGTGACACCGAACTAAATTTTAAGCATGTTTATTTATTCATCTATTTATTTAGCCAGTATTCATCGGATTGAAAGTGCATATTACCCACTCATACAATCATTTCTGGTCAACAGGTCGGCCCCTATTACTACTTGATCGGAAATGAGGGACGGAACACCATAAACATATACATGTACTGAGAAAAATGACTTAGTTTTCCAGCGGAAACCCTAATCATTGAGAGCAGGAGCAACTTGATCTTTTATGTGCACTGAGTTTGAGCTTTACGTCACTCGCGAAAGGATGCCGTTATCCAAACGACAAATGCCGGGAGTCTGGCAAAGGAACCGGATGTACTCTTTTTTTTTGCACTTCGAAGTGTGCAGTCGACCATGGGAGTCGGTAGCCACAATCTTGCTGATAGTAAAGGGGATCGCAAACCACTTTGCCATACACCAGGTTCAACAAATATTTGATTTCGCATTTGATATAAATGTGAAACAGGCTAATGTCGTATAATTCTATAGCGCGACAAAATTAACATAAAAATTGCTCCCATATCAGTAACCGCTGTGTTATGTACTTTTAATCAGAGCTAGCTTAATATCAAATATTAAATTTCTTTCTAATATAAGTTCACACTGTACGTCTATTTAACAATGAGTAACGAAAAATAAATATTATTGGCCCTGAAAACAAAACGATTGTTCAATTTTTGTCACGTACTGCTTTTAAGTAAATTAAGTAAATAGTTTATTTGTAGTCCGATTCTAAATAAACACGAACACGATATTGCCTACTTAATAACCATATACTAGCTTTTAATCATTTGGTAATTTGTCTGAATATTAGAATAGTTTCAGAGAGTTTTGATTTAGCTCCGAGACTAACAGTTGTTAAAAAGAAATGGTCTTCAAGTGATTTATACGCATAATTTACCATGGTGTTAATATTTAGGAGTATACACAGAGCGGCTAAATTGTATTTTAACAAGAAGCAAGACAGCTATTTTTATCTAATATTATTTTTGAATAAAATTTGGTTTCACCGAGATACTATATATATATATAAAATAATAACGGCAAGTTAGTTTGTCGTTGTTTTTTTGCGCCAAAGTCAAAGTTATCTGATTATCTGAGTGAACAGAGTATATGTAAATACATTATACTGAATTTGTGGAAGAGAGTGTTGGTATTCATTCATTTATTCATTTCAAAAGTATGTTATTAAATTCACCATATATTAAAAGGAGTTGCATAGAGAAATTACAAATTCACGAGTACAATATAACTACAACGTGTACAAGGTACATGGACAATACAGTACAAAACATGGTCAAATCCTGGGCTGCAAGACATACAACTATGATCTTATCACGCCCTGTAATATTCATACAAATAATGTAATAAATAGGCCAGCAAAAACACGATTTGAACTCATTGGATTGTTGCTACTTTTGAAAATATATCATTCAAACTTGATAAATATTCTAGTATTATTCTGATTATGCCATATATACTGTAATAAAATATTATCAGTCTTATATAAAGGTAGAATCATATCACACTGCTATAGATTTGTAACGATTTGTAATAATGTCCTAATTCCCAAAGGACAGAACAATATCACAATGCAGACAGTTTTGCCAGATCTTACTCAATAATATCTATTTTGTAAATAAATTAACACATTTGTATTTTATATATTAGATAAACTTACATAAAGATAATAAAATATTACTACTCACGATACCGTAGCAGGTGGTATGAGATTAATCTACAGCTGAAACATATCTGGCAGATCTGCTGGATATTGACACGCCACGTGTGTAGGTCGCAATATGATACGAATACAAAATATTCATTTCAATGTGTTCCACTCTATATTTTTGCTCAGTTTTTTGTTTGTTTAAAAATTCTTTATAAGTATGTTGTTGTTTGTTCTCAGAACTTGTTGATTGGCTATTCGATTTGGGGTTATTTCTAATTTAAGTGGTCAACACATGCATTAATTTAACTATTTTAACATATTTATACCGGTTAAAACAAGTAACATATTGAAAGCATGAGTAGAGTGTGTAATTATATCATGTGTATAATATAAAATAAACGTGCACTTAATAAACCCCAACTGATCTGATTTCGGATGGAAATATCAGTAATTTTCGTGTGATTTGTCACATAATTTGATAAAACATATCTCATAGTAAGATATCCAAAGGGGATGTGACAATTAATATAATGAATAAATACAATTCAGACATTTGACAAATTGTGGATGTCATAGTCGATATGCATAAAGTGTAACACAAAATATAAAATAAATATTTTACAGTAACCCCAATTTCAAAGATAAAGCTTACCAGAAGAAAACTAAATGAATTTCAAGCTTCGATGGCTCACAAAATTGGCAGATTAAAATTGCAGAAAGCAAGAAGTAGTCTTTGTAAACAGAAGTTTTCAAGATGGGGTCTGTCATATCACATGACCACAGCAGAAGGAGAGCTTTCTTAAAATTCCTAATTGAGATCATCTCTATTGCATTCATAGCGGGAAAACAATATACTGACAAAAATACTTAAAAAATTGAATTTGTGATTCCTTAATCGCAAGTTCGTTTATAACTTAAATATAATCATCAAATATAAGAGTTTTAATGAAAATATATTAGTATATACGAATGTGAAATTTAAGGATGGAGCTTCATTATATATCAAGCAAAGAAGTACAATTGTTTAAAAAATATGGCTTCTGTTGCCACTCAAACATTATAGTATGGCAATTGTGTCGTCTTGGAATGTGTCGTTGTTGGTGTACATGTGCGAGAATAGAACCAATTCCCTATACTGTTAAAGTACATCAAATTATGAGTCACATTTGGGTGTTAGATATAAATCTTTTGTCAACATGCAATAGACACGAGGAACAAGTCTTTCTTTGTCTGGACCAAGTTCATCGACGACCATCTTGCTTACTCTTGTCATCATCTGTAATACTTCCATACTATCACCATAGTGATCGAGCACGTGACACAAAGACTGAATAAAATATGAGCCTTTAGGTTCATTTTCCCAAGCATATGAACCTATAAGATGCAATTAACACAATAAACTATGAATATAAATAGCTCTGGTACGTACACCAATAAAAAAAGATTCGTCATTGAATTGATCTCACAACCGAATAGTCTTTCCGATTAACACTCTCAGTATATGTTTATTGCACCATGGTATCATTGATCAAATAATAGTTAAGGTCCCAAACATGCAGTATACAATATGGCTATAAAACTACAGGACATATTCAGCGCCCTGATTTTGATGGAATCACTCTCCTCCCATACTTGGAGTTTTATTTAAAAGACTAATAGCATTTGTCGGTTGCAAAGTAATAACAATTAATGAAATACCTTTCGACGTGGATTGCACTAGAAGAATATCTGCTGCTACTGGAATACGTTTAACCTCTCCTAAATCTGTCTGGTCGGACCCACTACTTTTAGCTATAGCACTATCAATAGCTTTATCACCAAAACAAGACTGTGAATATAATATATATGTTTCAAATACTAATAAATCACATGTACACAATATGTATCTCCATACCGTGACGCTGTCTTGACAGGTCAACACAGACTGACTCATATAATGTGACCCCTCCGCCGGGGTCAGAAATACAATCGAATTATGTTCATCAAAGTCTTTTGTTTGGACAAGGTAGCTGGAACACAATTAGATACAAGCAAGATTAGGCTAAACTAAGCTCTATTCTACCGAATCAGAATATATATGAGTGAGGTTTAACTATTACCTGGATGAAAAATAGTTTAGGCTTCCCTGCAAGGGTTGGGCATCTATCGCCATAGAAAAATTCTACCAAGGTCATAATACTGACGTAATAGTCGGTTCCGTAGACAATCCCGTCATCCCCGTGACTGAGTATAGCAACGACTAGACCATCACAATTACCATAGGATTCACGTGACACTAACATAAATATGGGTACTGGTTAGATTTATAAACTTAAATAAATACATCAACGATGTACACACTAACTGACACGAACTGGGAAAAAAAACACAATTACAATTTCTTACCGAGATCCATGAGTTGTAACATTTTACGTGCACTTAAGTTATCATGCCTGGTCACATCAAATCCAAGTCTTTCGAAGGAACGCCTTAGATTCACGGCATCAAAATCCGTTCCGTGTCGTGTATTCATACCAGTTTTCTTGTCAAAAAACTTGTTATTGATAATAATTGCTGTACCACGCCTTGTATTTGACATATTATATTCATCTTCACTAGATCTACAGCACAATACATTTCAACAAAATACACTATTTAGTATTGTACAGTCTAACACAGCCAAGTCCAGTAAATGACACGACAGTGCGAAATAATACGAAAACATAATAAACACATTGGTCTTACCGCGAAGTATATCTTACGCCATCAGCCGTTTTGTCTTGGACGACACTGAACTTTTCAATGTCTAGAGTATAAATAATTTTATGAAGTTACTAGCAATGTCAACTTCGTACGACGCATATAATGTTTGTTTTCACATATTGCTGTCACGTGTGTCTGTATACATTGATTATTTAGGGAATTATCGCATTTCAATTGTCCCCTAGTATTTTGAACTATGCTTAAAGAGCGGTAGTCGTCGCGCCGCGCATTCGCGAGATATGAGTCTCATATAAACAAAGATAGCGATTTTGACAGTTACACACACCAACTAGTACAAACTGAGAGGTTACTAAGCTTTAATTAGGTATTTTTTTAGTGTTTGGGAGGTGTCGAATAGTTGCCGTTGGTAATTAGTGCAAATGACGCCCATGGCAAAACTCGTACTCGTGATTTCATTGGAAAACGCATTGGATTATGGGTAAATCAATGTTTATCAACACAAATGTCGCACATGCGCGGCGCGACGACCACCGCCCTTTAAGTTTCGTAAAATGTCAGCGTATTTTGTAGTGCATCGCACATTGAACACATATATACATATATATACACATATTACTAATTATTAATATCATTAATTACATTAAACTTATATAATACCTACTTTCGTTTATATCTCGTATTGAATCTGACTGTGTTTGTTGACATGGTTTTCGGCGAAAGCACTCTTTCCATAGTTTCTCAATCTCAGCTCTGTTGTTGTCAATCTTCACTCCGTATTTGATATAACCAGGAATTCTATCACAATGAAATGTTGTCAGCTTTTTTAGTCTAACCAAAGAATCAGGTAACGATTTGAGCTCATTTTCAAAAATTATCAACGATTTCAACTTGGATAGTTCTCCAATAGCTTTCGGTAAACTGGATAATTTATTTTTACTTAAATCGAGGGATTCGAGATTATCCCAAACTTTTATTATCTCTTCGTCTACGACCATTATGAGATTGTTCTTCAGAGAGATTTCTTTGGCATGTCTGTATTCATTAATAAGTTCATTTGGAATTGTAGTGTGTCCACATCCTTCGCCATTATAGCACTGTGTGTCGGCCATTACTTTAATTTTACGGCAACACTTTTTTAAAGCTAAGAGAGAAAAGGGAATCAATAATTTTATAGTAATTTGCAAGTTAAATTAACAGTTATTTGACATTTGGAAATGGACTTTTGACGAATAAGACGATCGAGTAATAAGTGACACCACAGTTTACGGCACACCAGCCTTACAACATAGCTATATTGTACAGTGACGTAATAAGGGAACACACGGGATAGAGAGACTGTGAAGTGACACTACAGCTCACGGCACAGCAAGGCTGCTGTAAGCCACGGTTACTAAAAAGATTTAGTAACCGTGTGTAAACTGACGTAATAAGCGACACTGCAGTTTACGGCACAGCAACCAGAGT